AAGTGGCTGTGTTTGGCTTGCAGGGCAGGTTAGGTTGGGCATCCTAACCTGCTGCGCCACCAGGGCGGGCTGCTTCTTTCTAATCTGCCAGAGGTCGGGGAGTGGCAGCCCAACCTCACATAAAGGATAGTGTGGCGGTACTGGGTCACCAGGCGAGAGCCTGCACAAGTTTCCTCATGTCTCCAAACCTCAATTTTCTTGCCTATGATGTGGACAGTGATCCCCTTTGTCACAGAATGGTTTAAAAAATGTAGAGAAATAATGTGTTCAGCATGACATCTGGCCTGCAGATGGCCCTTGAACACGGGAAATGTTATTACATTGCAGATAAGGGTTTCCCCTATTATCTGGAAGTGGCAGGTTCCTATTTGGTTCGATTCAGTAGGTTGTTGCTGGGGTCTGGGAATGCCATTACCATTAATTAATATGGAAAACTTCTGTGCATTTCCAGACTCCCCCATCCGACCTACCAAATCATACTGGATAGGAGCCTTCTACTTCCACATAGTGGGGGAGACCTGTAAGTAGCCAGACGACTGATTAGGGAAAACAGGGCACAGGACACATGCCCAGGGCTTATGGTCAGTAAACATCACATCACAGAACCCCGTCCCCAACCTGGCCAAAGGTCTTGGGCAAGAAGGGACTCCCCCTCAGGGAGCCTCTGTTTCCTCACCTGTGAAAAGAGGTGAGAACAGCATCTGTCCTGAAGGGTGTGAGCTTTCCACCCCACACAGGCAGCCTGGGCACTCACCCGCTACTCCCGTTCCGCTCTCTCCCCAGGAAGTTTACCTTGAGGAGCTCGGGTGCCTGCTTCTTGAGTTTTTCCATCTTCCACTCGTTCTCGCAGGGGTTGAGCGAGGAGGGCGGTGCGGTGCAGGAGCAGCGGCAGTCTGTCCCGGAGCTCACAGTCTCCACGGTGTAGAAGTCCTCCACCCGCGCGCGCCCGCTGCGCACCCGGCTGCATGCGTCCTTGCTCAGCGGCCGCATGATGCACTTGCAGCGGCAGTCAGAGCCCTCCGAGGTCATCCGCACCTGGTCCACATCGCCGAATATCTGCAACGGGGGCTGGGTGAGCCAGGGCTTGGGGAGCAGCACCCAACCCCGCTGACTGGGGGAAGGCTGAGAAGTTAGCGACCCTGACAAGGAGATAAAGCCCTTTACAATAATAGAAAGCACAGATGAGTCGACAGGATGAAAAACGTTTGCTGTTCTTCAATGAACTAATTGGAGTTACCATGTGATCCATAATTTTCCGATATACCCCCCAAATTTGAAATCAGGTATTCAAGCCAAGGCTTGCATGTAAATGTTCATAGCAGCACTCTTCACAATAGCCGCTGGGTGAGAACAACCCAACTGTCTATCATCTGATGAACACATGTAGTCTATCCATGCAAGGGAATATTATGCAGCC